AATGGATTTTAGAAACTTCATGTTTCATTTATTGAGTGGTTGCTATGAGCTAAGCATAATATAAATTTTCTCTAGAAAAATTCTCAAAACAACCCTAATATTCATGCAACTTTATTATTTTCATTAAATAGATGGGAAAGTTATAACCTGGGATTATTTGCCCTATTGTCACACAGTGAGGATGGCCTCTCATGAATCACTGTCTTAGCATACTTAATTTGGGTATACAGAGGCTTTAGTTGGAAAATAGATCTTACTTTGAGTGTATTGTGTTTATCAGAGCAACTCTTTATTGAGCACTTACTGTGAGCCAGACTACATTGGTGCTCTTACATGTACATAATTCCATTTACCTCTCACATCCACTTGGTGAAATGTATTGCCATCTCCATCTCACAAATGAAGGAATAGATTTTAGTCATTAGGCAATCTATTCAAGAGCACACATTTGGAATGCAAGTCTCTCAGATGGATTCTAAAGGCCACTCTTCCTGTTGTGTGAACTTCCTTGTTTTATTAAACATTTATCATTTTAGTTTGTTTCTGTTAACTCATCTATTAACCCCTGCTTGACAAGAATGACCCATAGCCTCCAAATACTGTAGTTGGTCACAATGAGTGGTGGAATTAATTGCGTAAGTTTAATACCAGGCTTTGAGTTTCTCAGTTGTCTGAATTGGGTCCAGTTATTTCATCTTTTAAAACCATTTTTCTTCATTTGTAAAATGAGGACTGTAACAGGAACTGAGGCATAAGATTCTCATGAACTAATCTATGTAAAAGACACACTATTATGCTCAAAAAGCATTCAAAATAAATTGGCTATGATTAGTAAAACCTCCCAAATCACTTAAAAAAAAAACCCTTCAGTATTAGTGCAACTGAAACCAGGCTACTGCTTATAAACACCAATGGTTGAAGTCTGGTAGCAACTGTCTTCCTAGATATCAGGAAACCACTGATACTGTATTCTTCAATGAAGCCCCCAGAATCATGCCTGTCCTAATCATTCTGCAAAATATTTAAGCATACAGAAATGAATAAACAATAAGGCAAAGAACAAGTATTTACTCCATTTGTCTCAAAGTCTAGAAAGCCCTAATAAAAACAAATAATAAGTCCAATTGTCTGCCTATTACATTAGCTTCTGCAAAATGCATTGAAAAATATATTAATTTTTTTTAACTGGTCAAATAGCTTACACTTGAGCACTTGACCATGAAAGCTGATGAACTCTCCTGCTGTTCCTGGGCAAGGTGGTATCAGCTACAAACCGCACACTGCTAGGATTTTCCCCCATTTCTTCTCATTTTTGCTTTAATTTCTATTTTTTGAAAGAGAAATGACTAATCTGTTTCAGATTTGCATTTTTATTTACTGTTCAATTTGTTGAATGTTAACCGAGTGCTTTTTCAATCTATTTTGGCCTAATGTGACATGGAAATATAATTGTAAGTCTTGACATAAAAGATATTTCCAATGACTCATTTTTATCTAGCTTATGATGGTGCTACATTTTGATTAAATTCCTGTCCATCTTTAAGTTATATTTGTAAGCATCTTTTATTTTGTGCTTGTTCTTCAATGCACAGGGAAGAATTAAATAATGAAACAGTAGATAGTGTAGTAACAATTTATACTTGCCTTTTATAGAAATTATGATAAAGTACATATAAGATATACCACTTCAACCATTTCTAAGTTCAAGGTTTGGTAGTACACTAACATTGTTGTACAACTATCTCTAATATCCATCTGAGAAGTCTTGTCATCATATTGGACTTCTAAAAACAATTTACTTATTTATTTAGCTATATCTGCCTTAATTGCAACTTTGATCTGAGGCAGGCTCTGTGCTGGACAAAGCCTGGCCCACTCTACATTCTCAAAGTCCCCTTGCAAAACTGGCTGGTCCAGCCTGGTAAGCCCTAGTCCTCTTGATTCATCTTCCAAAACCAGCAGTTTAGAAAAAGAGCAAGAATAGGCACAAGAGTTTAATACATTTGGAAATCAGACCCTAGACCAGCAATTACCATGCTAAAGGAGATATGGGGGAGGGAGCTCAAGCATTAAACCTTGGGTATGCACCCCTTTTTACCATGTCTGCTGTGGGACCGTGGGTATGTTTTCTAGACTCTGTGAGCATATGTCATCCTTTGTAAAATGGGAAAATGTTTATTTTAATGTATTGAGCATATGAATGACAATACATATGTAGTAGAAGAATTAAAAATTATTAGTGATGAGAAAAACGTATCTGTGTAGTTCTCCTGCCAACTTAATGGCCAGATCTTAAAACTAGCCTGACTTTTCTTTGCTAGCCTGTGGAACAATATGTGTGTATGTTCATGCTTGCGTGAGTTTGAGTGCATGTATGACAATATATGCATGCATTAGGTGGGAGGAGGATTGAAAGGTGAAGCTAAATTGCTCTGTGTTAGAAACTGAGAAGAAAATAAGGTTCAAGGGAGATTCTAGGAAAAGGAAACTGCAGCCAGGGGAGACTCACAGTCCTTAAGGAGAAAGAGAATCATTGTTGAATGGGAATTGAACCATGAAAGACTGTGTAGCTGTGACATAAAACCATACTTCTGTCCTTTATATGAAAACTTCAGCAATACTTGATTGTTTTTCTTTCTGTTGAGGGCATATGGATAAGAGATGATATCACGCTACATTCTACCCTAACATTGGCTCCTAAAGGAACCAAGTAGCTTACCAAGATATACTGTATGAAATACCTTGTCATCATAAACACATACATTGCCAGTCATGGAGGTGTATAAAATTGTTTTGCAATTCTATACTTCTTAAATGCAGAGTTCTCAGAAATGAAAAGCATAATTCTTATTGCCAGAAAGTTTTGAGAATAGACTTCCTACCACAAAGCATGCAGAATTGAAAGCTTTTAGAAGCAGAAACTCAGGTACATGAAAAGTAAGGAAAAATGACTGAGATCAGACAGTAAAGAAAGACTTAGAGAGACCTGCTCTGGGAAGGTGTGGTGGTCTCTGCTCAACAAGGCAGAATCATTATTCCTGAAAACCAGGAAATACACCTTCTTCAAAAACATCAGGAACAGCCTGCCTTTCAAAGACCAGAGGTGTACTGGAAAGGTCCCGGCTTACAGGGCATAGGGTGCATCTGTCTCCTGAGGGTCCCTTCTGTTTCTTCACTTCTCTCCAAGTACCTTTACTAGTAATGCCTGTCCTTGATCATGCAGGAACTGTGTGTTGTGCTACAGAACACAATACTGTCAGGTGTGCTCGATGCAGCACTCTAGTCAGCGTGCTGTGATGTTACCCCCAAGTCCCATAGAATGGGCATCTCGGCTCTCAGGGTCTCATACGTATGAAGGAAATTGTGTGGTTTCCTAAAAGAATGTTAATCTTTCAGAATCAGAGCCTTCAGAGTTCTTTGTCCTTCCATGAAAAAATTGTTCAGCATACTATATAAAAAAGTAATGTTGTCTTTGTTAAACATGGTAAAGCACTATCTAGCCCTTATAGTAAAAATCAGAAATTGAGAATATGCAGAGAGAAAAGGAGGAAGTCCAAATTAAATTTCTTCTCCACTTTACTAAGTGGGCTAAATAAATCTCTTGATGTCTTTAGTGGCAGCATATCCATAATCTGTTGGCACTAATTGTGAAATATTTACTGGTAGCTTTTCCCTATTGTGAAGCTGATTTTCTTTTTGGACATTTTGTCTATTATTATGGTCCTGGGAAAGAATCCAAGTAAATGCTGTTTTCAGAGGGAAGAGAAGCACAAAGGAAGCTGCTGTATCACAGAAGAAGCCCCAGTCAACCTTTTCAGACCCAGTATACAGAGGGGAGAAGAGGAAGTCAGCAAGGGTACGAAGCATTAGTGCCTTTGCTTCCCCATTCTTTCATCAAATCTGGGCGTTGACGCAAAGCACCGGGGCCAAGAAGAGATAAGCTGTTCCTGTGTGAACTACCTATGTGACTGGGGCTCTCCCATTCCCATTTCCACTCATCTGCACCCTTCCTATGGTCTTCATAGGAGCACACAGGACAGCGCAACTAGAGATAATGCAATGATGAGCATTAGGCTACAAATAACCCCCAAAGGCCAGAGAAACTGAGCCCACAGCAGCAGATAAAAGAGGCCTGAGCTGACTTAGGTCCACTGTGTCTCAGCTGAGAGCAGCATGCAGGGTGCTTTCCCCAGGTACCATCCATGTGGGTTGGCAGGAAAGGGGAACAAGACACCTAAAAACATAGTTCAACTAGACCAGACTGAAATGCCTTGCAGTGCAGCTTTGGTTTCAACCAGCCAGCTGCTACTAAGGGGACCACTAGAGATAAGACCGGTCCCCAGAAAATGAGATAGGCCACACCAAACTTGGGCTTAAAACCTAGTATAATGCTGTAGGAAAGCAGCTGAGAGTGTAAATGAGTTTAGAAAAAACTATCTAAAATAACCTAGTTTTTATCCTCAAAAGAGCAGATAACCTGAACATTCTAGAATTGTATTAACAGTTCAGGGTCAAGGCACAGAGCTAAATCCAAAACGAACTTAAAAGAAGGGGATTTTTTCATTTATTTACTTGTCATTTTTCCATCTGCAATAGATGTAATTTATCCTTCTAAAATCCAAAGTTTCCTTTCAATTCACAGTATTCCTTGAACTACTGTTTTAAATAAGACGGACTTTATTTCCCAACAGCTTTTATCGGTGTAGTGGGTCCACCCTTCTTTACCTAGTATTTAATGTGTTTTTTCTCTTCCCCCACACTATTAATCCTCATCAGGTTGTCATGAGGATTACATGAGTAAGTGCTTATAACGCACTTACAGCAACCATTGGCAAACAGTAAATGACCTCCAGGGTTTGCCCTTTAAAGAGACTGCTTCAGGTATGAGTAAGCCAATTGTGATGGCTCACCATTAATAATGAATAGATATGGATTGTGAATATTGGCATGTGTTTTTCCATCATCGCTCACTGCCACACACACAATAAAATAACCCAAAATAGAATTACGAATTTTATTAGAGAATATATCTAAAATACAATATTTATTAAGTTATGGTATCATTTGAATGGAAATATACTCTGTATCACAACTATAACAATTTTTACAGATATACTTCATTTATATCCCTAGAGTTCAAAAGCCACTAAATTACAACATAATTCATCTTTAAGATAACTTTGCTGCAAATATATAATAATTTTAAAAGTTTTTCTTTAATGCAGCATCTTGGGATCACAAACATTTGTTTGATTTATATTATATAAAATATTTTCTCTGTTTTGCCTGTTAGCTAACTTTGTCTTAAGACATGGATTTGAATGGAACCATTCTACTCTCCTATGTTTTAAAAATAGCATTTTAATGAACAGTACCAAGTGCTCGTTACCCTACAAGGTGTGAAGGAAGTCGAGGTGCTTTCTTCCTACCCTTCATGTTAGATTCCTGTTATGCAAAGGCTACACCAGAAGCTGAGCACTGACCCCGTACAGCACTCTGTCCAGTACGACACCTGGCCTTGCTCTTCACAGTTGATTAGTTAGCACATCGGGGGAGAGATGAAGGATCTAGAAAAGCAGCTGGGGTCCAAATCACCAAGGTAGGTTTGTGCTAAGCTACAGGAAAACCCTAGAAGACCACACCCACTCTGGAGCCTTTCTTATTTGAAGGAGGCTTTGATTTTCCTGTTCTTCAATGGCTGAGCTGGGCGCCAGTTATCCACCATTGGTTCTTCAGCTTCACCTTCTGCGTTGAAGTGAAGGCCACGGAACTTTAACATCTATGAGACAAAAAGAGAAAGAAAGGAAGAGAGAGAGAAAGGAAAAGAAAAGAAAAAGAAAAAGGAAGGAAGGAAGGGAGAGGGAAAGAAAGAAAATTACATTAAAAACAGAAGTTTTGTGTTTACTTATGTGCATATGTTTAATCTTGAAATACATCTTCCCATATTCACAGTCCTGTGTATCAATGATCAGAACTCAATTTGTTCCTAAGAGTATGCATTCATTTAGCAAACCAATTTATATAAAATACATGAAATCATTGGGGTTATTTTAAAGCAAAATTTCAGTGAGCTTGCTTTACTGATTTTCATATTAAATCCAACATCAAAAATCCATAAATTCCTAGCTCTCACATGTAAGGCAACAATAACAGCTCTAAATTAAATGATAGTGTTTTCTGCCTCAGGAAAGACAAAGTACAACATCTATACAGTCAGATAAAGGGTCCAGGATTTGCAAGCTCTACAAACTGACTAATGAGCTGGCATCTCTGCTTAAATATATAGAAACCCGAGAATGCATCTGCTCAGGCAGGGTTTTCACACCATCATTGATCTGCATTGCCTTTGCACCTGTTTCAGTTTCCAGGCCCACTGCTGTGACACAGGCAGCTTTCAAATGGCTCTTATTCCAAGGTTGTTCACAGACTATCCTATTTCCCTTCTCCTTGTCAAGACTTGATCTCAATGAAGAAGGGTGGCTTAGGTGGTCATATGGAAGCCATGAGCTGATGGCCTTTAACTTGATCATTTTTATTCAGTCATTCTTTCCATCTTTCCCAGGGAGACAACTTGGAGGTAGGTCAACTCTTAACATAAACAATCTATTGCTCCTACAATGCAAATAAATTCTTTAAAGAGCATCTAGAGTAGAGTCATACAGTAGAATCCCTGGAACATGGAAGAGTTTGATTATGAAACAACTGAATTATTTGTCCAAATAGAGTAAGTGATTTATACTTCCTTTCCATCACTTAAATTGCAATCTCTTGTTGGTCAATCTGACTCACTACTTTAGGAGCAGATAGTATAAAAAATCAAGTTAGCAGATTTATTTATATTGTTTACCTAATACTCAGTCCTCTTCTACTTTCTCATTAACAGGCATCTATGCTCTACAGTAAGCAGCCAGAGAGGTAAATCTGAAGGTCTTAAATGAGCACGGTAATCGCAGATCCTTACTAAGGACTGCATTAGAAGAGAGCAAGGAGCTCGGTGCTAACCACTGAGACACAAAACTCTGCTAGGCAAAGGCATCCGTATTCCAAAGAACCAATGGATAAGTTATTTTATTCCTCTTCAGAAGGTGGTTATACCTGGATGTGGTCTTCACAGGGCTTTTCCAACAACTAAAGTCAGCATCTGTACAATCACTAAAGTTATCAGTGGCCAAGGTAAACGAAAGGAAAATTCAAAGAGGAAGAGCAAACTCTCTGGCTGTCGGGGATGAGCATGATCCTACTTCCAGATTCCATGTCACATGATATGGAAAATATCCCACCTAGTACACTGGTACTTTGCCAATATATACAATTAACATTTCCAGTTTAATACGACTTCCTATCTTCAGTGCAAGTTCAGAATACAAGGACTAATGGAGGAGGTTATTGCCCTTACCAATCTGTATAATTCTGTGTATGGGTGTGCATGTTCCCAATAAATTTATTTGACATAAGAGCTATCAAAGGCAGACTTTGGTTCTCAGGCTGTACTATTCTCAGTGAGGGAAGAACCAAGAATTTCGTATTTTAAAATCATAAACCAAACACTGAATCTACAAATGCTCAAATGTTATGAGTATAAGGCCAATAATCAATTAGCTTACTTGGCCCATTTTGACAGTAAATATTACAAGTGAGTTTCAAGTTAGATATAGATTTCCTTTAAAGAAAGGTGTGACTTATGTTTAGTTTCATAAGTAAATATTATAAGGGAGAACACAAAAGTACAATCCTTGCTTCTGGACCTGATTCCACTGTGATGCAGCTGGGTGAAAAGCACTTTGATTTTCTTGCACTTCATATTGTTTATCAACACAATTCTAGGCAGTGAAAAGCTAAAACTGGACAATGTGATCTCTCTTACACACTGTATATTTAAACTTATATGTTTCCAAATTTTGTGATTTAGATCACACTACAATTCCTCAATGGTAATTTTCAAAAATGCTGGCTGCTGACTCTCTCTTTAAATTGTTCAGATCCATCCTCTTATGAATATTGAGAAAGACCCATGAGATAGAGTCAATGAAAAATTCACTTGGATCCACTTCTCTGACTACTCCTTAATGTCTTCAAAGCTGTAATACACATAATGTAAAAGCACCTAGTCTGAGCCTCTACAGGAAGATGGAGTGAATTTTAAAGGATGCTTTTTCTCTTTTGTCAGGATTCAGAAATGTACTCTTGGATAAATAAGACTTCGGGAAAGTCTTACATCAGTGATCAGTAGACTGGAAATTATTACTGATATCTATATAACCTTGAATATGAAATTTCCTTTTTTTTATTTCTTCATGGATAACCAAAAAACACATATCTTCAATAACAGATCTCTTTCTCATTTAATACTTAAATGGAGATTTATACACTAAACAAACTATGTGGGTTCTGGTTAATAACCATTTACTGAGTGCTGTTTATTTGCTAAACACTAGAAGAAGCATGATCAGCAGCAGTGCCACAAGGATTAAATCCCACATATATGACTTCAAAAGCCCAGCCCGTCGCCCTCCTCTAAATGCTCTGTCTCTAAGCACACATCTCAGGAAACTAACCTGCTCACTGCTTACGGTGATGGGTTCCTTGAGTACAATCCAGGTCACACTTTCCAGAAGAGGAGGCGTGGTCAGTGAGCCTGGGTAAGTCCAGTAGTCCAAGCTTTCAGGAAGGAGAACACGAGGGTCAAAGCCAGTGAATGCAGCACTCTTACCCTGTGGGGCAAACACACGGATTGAAACTGTCATATGATCAGAGCAGGAAGCCAGTAGGAGGGCACAAAACATAACTAGGTCTATTCCTCTTTGATAACCATATAAATAAAAGTCCTACATATGCTGACAAACAAAAGGAAAATAAATTAACAGAAGATATTTGACTTGGAAATATAAATTTCCAGGTGTGAACAAGAAAACCTGGTCATTATTTTCAAATATTCATTTTTCATCTTGCCATCTAAAACAATATTTTATGTTTTCCATTAAGTTCTTAAATGATCATATTTAGGATTTGCTGTGATACTTGTATCACTAAAATGATGGGAAAAATAGGCTGCAGTAAGGAAGACATACTCGAGGAATTGATTATCTTGCTGTGCTAACTGACAGCTGGGTCAGAACTAACCGCATTCAGTTCTGGGTATATACTCTCAGAGCTACAGAGGCAAACAGTATGCATTACTGGAAAATTGACATGACTGCTGCAAAGAGATGGAACTATGTCGTATGAGAAGTATTAAGGTGAACTAGAGATAATAGGCTGAGGAGCAGTAAGTGAAAGGCTGTGAAAGGCAGTCGAGACATGAGGAGGAAGGACTGGGTGTATATGATTCAAGGGGTCAGGCTAGGAGGAAAAGGTGCACATTTTAAAAGGATAGTTGCTGTTTCAATTGAAGGATGAGTTGTGTGCAGCCAGGGTTGTCACTGGTGACGACATCACTGGAAGTGACTGTAACATTTAAGCAGATGCACAGTGACCTCCACACATTAATGTTGCAAAGGTGATTTAAACACAGGATGGATGGATAAAAAGTCACACAACATAAATCTCCATGATGCAGGGTCCTCTTCATCTTGTTCACCATGGCATCTCGGATAAGCAAAGTGACTGGCATTGAGTATTCTACAAATGTTTGCTTTGGGAATGATTGAATAATTTAAGGACTTAATCTTTTATTTTCCATGTAGTTATAAGATTCTCCAATTCTTATTTTTATTAGTGTGTGTCTACAGTACATAATGTTTGCATTACTTGTGTAGAGTTGGTACAAGTATAGAACACATCTTCGTTTCTTTTTTCATCCCCTTTCCCTGCCCTGTCTTCTCTCTCCCTCCTGATTTTCAAGTGATACAAATAAAGACTCAACAAGCAAAAATCTTAAGAATTATACTAGAGGGGCTGGGGATTTAGCTCAGCGGCATAAGCACCTGCCTTGCAAGCAGGCAGTCATGAGTTTGATCCCCGGTACCGATAAAAAGGGAAAAGACAAAAAAAAAAAAATTTAAGAATTATACTAGAATTAGGCTCAACTCTTGGAGAAAGAAAGATTAAACATATGGGCTATATTTCATCTTTACTAGCTGTTCACCCAAACCCTACATGTTAACAAGACTATTCATTTTTATCAAAAGGAACTTCTAAAGACAGTGGAGTATTAAAAATAGATACTCTAATGAAGAGGCAGAAAATGAAACTTTACCTTGGTTTTAATGGAATCCAGCATATCAAGGACTTTCTGCAGGCCTGGCTTAGCACTGCCAATCTATACAAAAACACAAAAGACAAGATACAGGAGATCAGCAGCTATGTGCCATTTTTGATTTGGTCATCAGCACTTTCATAAAATTCTGCTAAAAGAATGAAGCAAAATCTACCACTTTATACCAGTTACCCATCTGTCTTAGCTTGAAGGTACAGACATCCTTACTTTCCCTGAATCTTCAAACTACCTCTGCTTCTGCCTGTATAGTTCTTCTCAAATGCCCCAGTGACCTTCAACTGGCAAAGTAAACTTTACTCTTAGGGGCACCTTGTAGGATAACACTATTATCTTCTTTCTAAAAAATTCTCTCCTCCTTTGTATTGTATGCTATCTAGCTCTGCTAACAGACCCTAACTCTCCTGTTCCTTTTTGGTCATTTAATCAGCGACTTCCCAATGCCTTAGCAACCTCATATCCTGTGGTTTCTCAGGGCTGCACACTGAGCAGATTGATCATACCCATTTGTGCTGCCCTAGGATGACTTCATTAGTACCTGCACTTGTCCCCTAACATACACTGTGGCCATGGTCAGAAATCTTCAGCTCATGACCACCCTACACTGGCTACATTCTTTACTTCTGGCTGGAGAACAGCTCATAACTCAACCTGGGAGGTCCCGCGGTTGCCTGAAATTCTCCAGAACTCCAGAGCCAACAATATCCTTGACCTCTCCAGAACATGCTTTACTTAATCATTGTCTATCATAAAATAATACTTTAGTATTCTTAGATTTAGGTTAAATTAAAAAAAACCCTACTAGTCCTCTAAAGTTTATGTCTTTATGCCTTATAGCTACATATTGGTACCCAATCACACTGCCTCCTAGGCTGTCTTTCTGATTTTCAGAAAGAAGGTAGAGAGAGTGAAGAAGTAGTAAACCTGCAAACACTTCAGAGCTGTAGGCATTTCCTCAGGTCTTTTGGGGAAGAATGTCTGTTATGAATGTTCTATCTGGTCATTCTTTCTTGCAAACAGGAAACAAGGAATTGAGCCATCAACTAACCTTTAAAAAAACACCCAAAACAGCCAGTCCATCAGGGTGTTGTGCAGCTTTTCCAAAACTCTCATATTTGGTGTTCCAGTGCACCAAGTGCAGCTAAAACCACAAGAGACAAAACCACAATGAGTGATTTATATTATAATAGCCAACAGATCTTATCCAGTTATTTTTTTCTCCACACCTAATAGCAAGTGATTGCATCAACAACACGAAGACCAATAAATGTAGAATTTTGAAGGGAGGCTCAAATTTTATGTCTAGATTTATATTAAAATAAATTCCTCCCATTTGAATTAATTAACTTTTTGCAAATGATGTCCTTGGAGACATTAGAGGAAGGGTCATGGCCTTAATTGTCATAGCACAACTAAAGTTTGTAAGAAGCAGATATGAAGATTCTTGGGACAAGAAGCGGTTCGCTTAATGTAAGTTCAATTTATGAGATGAAACCTTTGAAATCAATGCTAACTAATGGTTTACAAACATTTCCCTTGTAAAGAAGAATATCATACCTCTGCAGCATATTTCACTTTATCCACAGTATGCTCAGAACCTTGCTTATCAGAAGAGCCCCAGTGAAAGTGAAACTGAACCAATCTGTACACGCCATCCAGGGGGCCGTCTTTCAGCACTAAAATTAAAGTGCATATATGTAATATATCTGTGTCCATACACATGCACATACATACTTAGGCACATGAAACACACTGCATCTTTATGCATGCTTTATAGCACTAAATATTCAACAGCCACATTTTCCCCCTGTGAGAATTAAATATAGATTCAGGAATTGGTTACACACTGAAGAAAATCGTATCAATTGATATTTTTTCTCACACATACTGGCTGAAGGGATGGAGACTTTTCCATTTTTGTTTGCTGATAGGTAAGGTAGTACCTCTCTTGTGGGTTCATTTTAGAGTCTCAGATTCAAGTCCAATCAGAGGACATGAAATGCAACTAATAATCTCTTTGTGGGTCAGTTGAGAAGCCCAGGCACCTATTTGACAATGCACTGGCCTGCTTCATATACTTGCAAACATGAGAACCACACTTCTACCATGGCCCATGCCTGAATGACAACCTGCTTTGCTAACCTCTGACATCTCAGAATTTGTAAAATAATAAGTGTTTCATTGATTTGAATTATCCTTACACTGTTATGAATTGACTTTGTCCTCTTAAGATTTTGCTGTACTCTTTTATTCCTCATCTGTAAAGGGCATATATTTGAATACGTATTTCTTCACTAATAACTGATCCATCATCTACTATACAAAGTATATAGTGCTCTATTATCTCCAAAGACTTAAAATTCTACCTATAGTAACCATCACAAAGTTTTACTCTCCTAGTATTAATTTAACTTTATGAGAAATCATTGGAAAATAATGTTTTTCACCTAACTTATATGTATTAAGGGAATTTAATCAATATAGTTAAAATCTTTAAAAGTACTTTAGTTTTGCTATTTTATTTCTCTAGTACTGGAATTAAAACAAATGTTGCTTTAAAGGTATTTTATTACTCGTGGTTTATAACTGCATAAAAGAATGAGTTCAAATTTGCTTTCACTTTTTAAGACAAGGGAGCAAGTCTATACAGTAAAGATTTTTCCCCTTAACTTCACATAAATATGATTAGATGAAGTAACACTCAATCATCTATTCAAAGTAAAAGTAAAGTTAGCTACATGATCCTTGGGCAGAGCAGTCTTTATGTTTCCTGATACCTGGTCTGCCTGCTAGCTTTGCCTTATAATAGGGTAGGAGAACATTGGAAGAATGAAAGCACAAAAAATCATAAAGGGTATTATACTACAGATCTATTAAGACACATGAATTTGGTTGTGTATGGATAAAATCACATCTCTTGATACATAGAATCAGTCTGTAGTAAAATTTATTATCTGAAATTTCTGTAAAAAGGAGAAAAGAATTAGTCTTATCCCCAAGAGTGAATTTTTCAGAATTCCCTTTTTTCATAATAATGTGCCCTTAAAAATGGAACACAGTATTGTACGATGATCTGAGGAACTCTTGAAGATCATTATGTAAAATAACAACCCTAGTTATGCTCATATCACCTTGTTTTGAAGGTCTATATTGTCAGTGTTTTGGGTTCTTTGCTACTGTTATGTATTTTTTTTTTTGTTTTGTATTTTTCTAGGAATTTGTTTTCTCTTCTAATACAAAAAGGATCGGATACATGAAGAGACTCATACATGGGCAGAACTTTTCCTAAACAGTTTATGAGAATCGACTATATAATGCATGATGAAATGAACAGCTACCTTAAAGAAAAAGAGACATTAAGGTACCCAGTGCTGATTCTGTAGCATCATGCTGTGAAATCCAGTAATACTATTATTCTTTGTTCAGAATGATTTTAGTCTGCTTTGTATTGTTTAATTTCAATATACATGAAGGTATGGACAGCTATTTTGAAGAGAACAAGAGACATTGTGGCATCCGTTGTTGACTTCCCTGTTGTCTGGTTTTGAAGACCTAAAATGCCTTCATCATCTTGTTCTGATCAGTCTAATACTATTTTGCTTTGTGTGAATTCATTGTATGTGAAATATGGACAATTATTTAGAAGAAAACAAGAGACAGTATGATAGGCAGTGAAGATCTCCTGTTGTCTTGCTTTGAAATTTGTGTCTCTTACATTGTTTTCTTCTGATCTGTTTTATGTTTAATTTTACCCTCTTTAAAATAAATTTTTAAAAAAATGGAACACAGGCTTATAAAGTAAGTGAAACTGAGCAAATGCCTATATAATAATTCTTTAAAGCCAGTAACCAACTGATTGATCATAAAAAACAAATGCCATTTGCAATATTAGTCATACTCACTGATAAAATTACTCAAATAAAACTACATTTAGCATTTAAGATAGTTGATCTTTCTAAATATATCTCCTTGATGTTTGCAAACGTATCTCCTTTTCCCTTATATGTAATCATACCAGGATCTTAAACGTTAAGAAAATAAAGGTTGCCATTGTTTCTAATTCTCTTTCTTGCAGACTTTAAAATTGTATCCTAAATATTGGCTTCACAGAACATTTAGAATTAGGCAAGAATGTGTAATACTTTTCTTTAAAAATGATTAGTGAGCATTCAATGCCAGGTAGCTGCTTTAGAACCTATAAAATAAAACATTTTGCTATGAAGATTAAAAACTCACTGTGATCGGGAAAGGTTAGCAAACACTTCAAAGTTTAATTGCTGGAGGAAACCACAATTCTGGTCTTTGGATAACTGGTAATTTCGAAAAAATGGCATAGAATTTCATGAATTAAGTCCTTAAAAACATTATTAAGTATAATAACAAACTGCCATACGTTGTGTTAAAGGTAGCAGACATCTTTTTGAGAAGTAGATTATAGGATTTGCTTAAAAATATAGGTGTGCTGTATTCCAGCTTGTTTGATTGTTTTGTGTGATTGCTACAGGCCACTTTCTAAACCGTCACAGTTTAACATGAAATCTATTTTTCTAATGAAAAAAAATTTTTTTAAAATAACAGAAATTGCTGACTATATTTTTTCTTTATAAAATCCAGCCACATTAGTGGGGCTCTGTAAGGTCCACGACTTATTGCACCATGGCATCGTGTTCCACAAAGTATGCAGAACACAAATGGGCTTTCTACTTTAATTTATTTTTAAAACCTTCAAAATTTAAATTACATTCAAATTCTAGAGCTCCAGCTAGTTTTAATTTTCATGATGTGGTATCAGTTAGCTGTATCATATATAAAACACAAGATAAACACCAGGTACAGCATTATAGAATAATCTACTTTTATATATTTACTACCAGGAAAAATTACTAAACTATTTGGGTGTTTTGCTAACAACAGGAGATTCAGTAATATTGAAATGTCAGACTACCCATATGAAATAAAACTGAAAATTCAGCATTTCCTAACCATTATTGTTGCTACTTAATAAAGACACATCTAAATGGCAAATAAGACTTTAGTGTATGTCAATAGTCTTAAATCCAAAATACAAGTAAATTACTCAATTGTCTTAGTTTAACTAAAATTTAAACAATTTCCTAGTAATTAAACAAATGAATAATTCCACAGAAAAATAATGGCATTTCTATGAACTGAATTTTTTCCATGACTATCTTCACAATTTTTAAACGATGCACTACTATTTTCACTACTGATGAAATCCTATGTGTTTTGTTTACCAACAGTAACTCATCTGAGGGCTAGGTGTCAGTGGGTAAAAATTCAGGGGATGGGGAGAAATGTGCATATTCCATTTCACGGAAACTAAGATTAGCTATCACTTTCACTAGAGTAAACAAGTCAAAATTCAAGGGAACAGAAGTTTTACCTTACACTAATCAGTAATTACACAGGATAAAAATTGAACATAATTAACTAAAGCTTTAGTTGGTTTTCCAGCTTATACCATGTGCATTAGCATGTTCACAAGTTCTTTTATTTGTGGTCATTCTGCTTCTTTTCAATTTAGTGTTGCTCAGGGACAGAGAATTTTGTAACTTCAAGAGAAGTCCCTTGAAAAGCAACCAGAATCCAGGTACAAAGACCTATTATGTTGTAAGGACAATAGTCTGCTTCAGAAGGACACATGAAGTCCATTTTGCTTCCTTTTTTCTTTTTTTTTTTTTAAACAATAACCACTAAAAGAATTCCAATATCTCAAAAAACAGAGATGAGAATTACATGCAGGGTGATCCCATCACTTAAACACGTCTGCCCCTAACTTGATGATAAAGCAGGAGAGTTTCAGTTTTATTAGTAAAAGTTAATAAGTTAGCAGGAGTTAATAATTTGGCTACTATTGGTTTCTCCCAGATAAAGTTGGCAATAAAACATCAAGCAGAGTTATTTTTTAATAATTTAAAAAATATATCAAAGGATTAACAATGTTTTTCATTAAAGTGGTTTATAATAAAGGAATCTTGGAAAATTTGTGAGAACTTTAAACCAAGCTCCTAGTTAAAGCTCATTAAAGAATTATCTCTAGCTTAAATACCAATAAACTCAGCCAGCTTAGTTCCTGACACCCAAATACATTTGGACACAAGATAATTTAGGGCATATTGGAAAATCTAAATGTGTGAGTTCTTGAAAGCTGAAATCTCATTGAGGTGGGAGAAAAGTAAAGGAATTGAAGCACATAAATGCAAAAAATAAGACGTAAGGAATATCTAAAAATGCTAATATCAAAAATAACTTCAAAATGAAAAGGTCAACCAAAATAGTGAGTTATTTTTGGACTTTAATGTACAAAATTATACAAGTTGTTAACTGTGTCCATCATCCAAAGATTCTTACTCAAATTCTTTTGTTATGTGATTGCCCTTTGGTCTCTCCAGCAAACTGGGAAGAAGGCTCAGCAAGTTACTTAAACTCCTGAGGTTTTGTTTCTTCATGTTTATTTAAGCAGGTTGACTACAGTATCTCTACTGCTTGCTCTAACTTTGAGAATCTAGGATCGTTTAAAAAAAAATAAAAAGGTATTGCTCCACATGATATTTTTAATTACTTGGTAGATGAGTTTTTCTTTTATGTCAACATTTTAATATATTCTCGAATAACCCAAATAACTGAGATGTTAGCAAAATTACAAATGAGTCTTCCATATGCAAGGGAGAGTAAATCTAATACTGCTGACCTTTGCATTTACTATTCTTCTTTTTCACCTTCCTAGAACCCAGAGTATGTACTAAGTCCCCCAGTGTCCCCTGTTTTCAAGATATCAAACCCATCAAGACTTCATGTCTTTCTTTACTCTGAAAACTCTTTTCTGAGTACCCAGTTAGACTCCTACACTTCCTTCATATTTCCACAGTCCCTTAAAATATTTCCTTTTTGCACTTATCAAAGTGACAGTCAGTGTCTATTATTTCTATGTCTTTCTATGTAGGTATCCTCAGCCCACGCTAAAATCTTGGGATAGAGGAGAAGGACCAGGCCCTCATCCCTCCTTCATGAAGCATTTAACTGGTGTTAAATGACTTTCTTTTATAAGAATTAGTGGACAATAACGCATGTGTTTCTAAAGACCCATTGATTTAGGTTAAAACCCCACCTAAACCAATTGCTTTTATTCTGTCTCACAATTTACATATGGCCATTATTCACCAAAAGAAATAGCTGGGGAAATGGGACTAGCTCTCATCAGTTACTGCTAACGCTGAAATCCACCAAAGGTCAGTACATTCGAGGTGAAAGAAATGATGTAATAGCTTCATAAATAAAAGCGGCTCATATTTAAAATATGATAAACACACAAAACTAATGTGAAAGCCAAGCACAGTCTCTTCGCGATCACAGGCACAGCAGCTGCAGCACTTGCTCAGTAAAGGCGGTCAGACAGGACAGTCCCAGCCGCAGGGTCTGCAGGCCCTGGGCTTGGTGCTCCTCACGTCTCTGCTCTGCGGCAGCTTCTACTGCTGTTCTCATGTTAGAGTTACAGAAGCCTAAAGCGTTGAGAAGTTTCTATCATTCTAGAAATCTCTGAGCTAGTTAGTAACAGAGCTGAAACTTAAATCCAGTTCTGTCTGTTCCAAACTGAGGTACGCCATCATGAGGCTAAAGGAAAAAAATCAACTTTCCAATAATATACGCGACTGGAATGATGAATTTCACTAACACCTTTGTAATAACTATTACTGAGGGATTTATATCATCCTCTACCATTCGTTTTTTCATTCTTAAAAAACCCTATTTAAGCATCCAGTTCTAAATTTCTACGTAGGGGTCAATAAGGTACATAATTAGCAGGGCATTACATCCATTGTTAACAATCTCGTTGTGGTTGTTTAAAAGGAATTTGAGAGGGCTGGAATATAGCTCAGTGGTACAAGTGTCTGCCTGGCAGGTGCAAGGTTGTGAGTTCGATTCCTGGTACCAAAAAAAAAAAAAAGATTTGAGAGTTACAGACTGATTTTGCTCACTTCTTTTGGTTTTTAAATGACAAAAAATGAAACTTTACAGGATCTGTCTGCATGTACAGTATCTTGATACCTTTCATCATATAAATATATCATTTTTTAAAACAAAAGGATTATGTTATATTTAATCATTTGATTAAAGCACTGTTTTTTTTAAGATAGGAGAACTACTTGGTAAAGCAATGTAAGCCAAATCATTGAAAAAATGCCCACAACATAATCCCCCACTTGAACATACAGTGTGAGTCTGTATGTTCACGCGTGTCTGTGTATGTGTGCGAGTACTAAGGAGGGGCGTACATAGGACAAATACATTGGAAACATTTCTCAAATAATCTGCACATAAAGTATGGGTATGGACACTGCTAAATTGTCTTCCTGAATCACTGTTTCAGACAGACGAGGTTCAAAATTTGAAAAAGAAGAATTCTTGTTTTCAAAACTGAACTGAATATAACGTACAGCTACTAGAAAAGAGTCTACCTGACTCTAATGGATTTAATTCCATGTTACACATTAGCTCTTTACTCCAACACTGTGACAGCATTTTCCTTTTCCATTTTGCTCTCAGGCTCCTCCCACTCACATACTACCACCAAAGCATGGGCTGGCAGCACCATTTCACTCACTGACCTTTGCATGCGAGTACTCAGGAAAGCAGAGCACTGGCAATAAAATCAACCAGCAAGCAAAAAAGACAGCTACTGCATCTAAATGGGACTCCTCTCCTGTGTCTAAATAAAATATAAGAAGTACTCAGTGGGCATCCTGTAAACAGCTCTAATACAAATAATTTATGGAAACTGGATTTGTCAGTCACCAGCCAGGCATATCCCCTGAACTCTAAATACCTTCATCAGTGCAAAGAATTTCTGGGTAGGTACTAAGATATGTTACCACCCTTACTAAGATAGCTCAATACCAAGAAACAGACATGAATACAGTGTTTTCCAAGAATGTAAATTATTTTGCATTGATGGGTTTTCATTACGCGTCTCACATCTGTCTGGGCAATAACACACCTTAAGACCTAATTCTTAGGTAGGCATCAACTCTGCAAGACATAACTTAGGAAGAATCTTAAAATTCCAATTTTTGCAAATTTTATTCTGGTTCATCTGTATTGTCCAGGATTTTGCCTTTGTGACTTTTCACAGTCATATCGTGGTTATTCAATGCCCTTCACAAAAACCAGGCATCTTACAAGGGAAGAAAAGCCCCAGGGCACCTACTTCAGAGTCTCCAATCTAATGAAGACAATCACGGTGACTTCTCACAATACTAGGACGAACTGTAGTATAAAGGAATTTCCTAAGACTGCTCTGGATTTCTTCCATTAAGCTGGAAAGCAGCTACTGGCTAAAAGGCACAAGTGATCTTTTAAACACTGACCTGCTTTGTCCTGGGAGTCATCAAACTCCACGTTGAAGGAGTGACCATTGTTGAGGATCTTTAGCGAAGCAGCATGGTCATAGTGAAGGTGCAGAGGCTTCAGGGCGGGATCATACGTGACTGCCTTGGTACTGATGTCGACAGGAGACTGATGCTCTCCGTTGGCAATGGGGAACTCTTTATGCCAGTGCTGAGGTCCTGAAGGCACAAGACACTTGTGAATCCCCCAGTGTGGGCAATAAAACATCGCGAGCCCTAGAAGAGGGCAATGACTCTAGAGCCAGTTGGCTCAGTTTCAATTTTGGAGGCACCATAAATGATGCCTTTGAGAAAGAGAAACCTTTGGGGGATATAGTCTGTGCCTTATTTGTAATAATGGAGTAATAATATTACAAACTTAGTTGGTAGATGCTGTTTTGAGAATTCAAATGCATACATGCAATGTCCTTACCATGAAGAATGCTAAGTAATTATTCGCTAATTTTCACGGTATTTGAAACATAAATTCAGCAACCGAAATTGGGCAGACCCAACGTCAGGGATTTGGGATAGATACACGCACGAAAGGTCCACAGTCCCCCCTGGTGTCCTCTGCTGAGAGGACAGCGCCGCCGCGGGCGCATGGGCACCCTCCTTTCACTGCCAGGGCCCGCTACGTGGGAACCCCCACATCCCCTAAAGATGAAGGGCGCCCGACGGCTAAATGCATCTATGTCTTCCCTCCGTTGGCTCCAGACACCCAGATGTAGGGGCTGTCTGAACCCCGAACACTGTTAGTTGAGAAATGCAGGAAAGCCTCGGTCACTGGAGAAAGCGCCCCGGGACGGTGTGCGCCCCGACTCGGCCACAGGTGGTGCTCAGGCTGCCGGGATGCGGCGGGGGCGGGGAGGTGGCATCTTGGATTCCCGAGATCCACAGCTAAATTTTCCGTTCCAGCCCCTGCCCGCTTCCTCCGAGGTCCCGCTGGGACTACCGGGGCGGGGACCCCGAAGGGAGCCCGGGCCCCGCGGATTCCTCGACAGAGCCCGAGGGGCGCGGGCGTCGCGCGCTGCTGCAGCCGGGGCGCACCGGAGCCCGCGCGCTCTGCGCCCGTCCCGGCTAGTGCGGCGCCGCGGCCGGGCTGGGGGTCGGGACGCGCCCGCGCGGCGGGTCTCGGCACTCACCGTTCTGGCTGCCGTACCCCCAGTGATGGGACATGGTGGCGCGGCGGTCGCGGCAGTGCAGGAGTTGGCGCCCTTCAAGTGGCAGCGGCTCCCGAGCCTACAGCGTGTGTCCGCGGGTCGCACGGTGGCCGGCTTTTATAGGCTCGCGCCAAGTCGGTGCTGGGGGCGGCCCGAGGGAGGGGACCCCGGCGGACCTGGCGGCGGGCGGAGGTGCGGGCGGAGGTGCTCTCCTGCTGGGGCGGGCCGGGCCGGGCGGTGAGAACGCCCTCCGGGGCGCTGCCGGACTGGCGCTCCTCTCCTCGCCTCTGCGCTCCTTCTTACTCCTGGGCCGGCCCAGGGCCCTGGGAGGCGGCGGGGCGCGGATCCCCCGCGCGGTGGCGGCGTAGTGCGGGCCCGCGGCCGCCGGCTGCTGGCGTCTACGCGCACCCCATCCCCCTCCGGCGCAGGGGCGGGCGGCGGCGATGCTCGGGACCCGGGCCCGCTGCGCTCCCTCCGCGGGCTCCATTGCGGGGCCACTTGCACCCTCCCCGGGCTGCCCAGCTCAGAGGGCCACACTGTCCGTGCCGGGACTGGGGCTGGCAGGCTGGGTTGGGAGCTTTGACCTTGGGGCAAATAGGGATACGCTACGTTCCTTGGGGCGCAGGAGCGTGCACCCTGGCGCTGGAGCCGCGCGCCCTCTGCTGGACGGCTTGCGACACAGCGCCCAAGGGCGCGCGCGGGCCGGCCTGGGGCTGCGTTTCGCTGTAGGCTGTTGGAGGCGCTGACCTCCTCTGCCCTCCAAGCTCTTTAAAAATTTACCGAGGGCAGGGAACTTCCTGGTTTATTTTAACCAACCAGAACCTCAAAAGTCACTTTTCTCAGAAGAATCAGGTAAAAGAATGTCTTCCAGAGAGGTGAAATCAGAACTTTCCCTGGCTGGCGAGGGAAATTTCTGACATACCTAGGAAACCATTCCAAATACTGCATGAACTTAGGAAACCATTCCAAATACTGCATGAAGAGGACCTTTGTTTGTTTATTTAGTTAGTTATGACAGTATTGGGGAGGGACCCGGGAGCCTTACCCATTGAGCTATATCCCCAGCAATGTTTGTTTTCTATTTTAAGGCAGGATTATTTCTCATATTTTATTTTGAGACAGGATCACGCTAAATTGTCCAGGCTAAGCTGGAACTTGTGATCCTCCTGTGTCAGCCACTTAAAATTTTCATGGGCCCTGAGACCTTTGCCAGAATGGATCCTTTCTTCACAAACACACAGCACACTTCTGATTGTATTGATATAAAAATTATCTTATTACACTTATTCTAAGACAGAATATTGTCAAAGATTCTTGAAACTTGTGGGCTTGAGGTCCTGTGCTTATTGTGCCTTAGAGGAAGAAATCAATCTCTGTTAAAGTGGAGAGAAAATTCAGTCTCACAAAGGACTTTGCCACAGATGTATCAAAGCAGAGTTGTTCTGTGTCCTTGATCATTGTGAGCATGCTGCTAGGGTTAAAATTGGGCAGGATGTAGTTTTCATAATTGTCTCAGCCTTTGTATCACATTACTTAAAATTAAAAATCTATAGATAAACTAAAAGATACATTATGCCTGTAGATTTTTGTAATCTCAACATCATTATTTACCGTTTATTTCAGTGAATTCCACAGAAATGTTTCATTTATTCTTTAAGACTGCTGAGAATAGTGTACCTGAGTCATAGAGCTTTGGGTAGACATCATAGGAAATTCTTAGACAAAACTGCATCAATAATCTTTGTAGATTTCTAGGACTGTTATAATATGGTTCACTGACAAGAAGAACTTTCGTGCTCTGTAGCTGCCTGGTCTCACTTGGAGCCTAGTGAAAAATTTGGACTCTATGATTTTAGAACATTTACTGAAATGATTAACATAAGGGGCCGAGGCAGGAGGATCACACATTTCAGCTCCGCTTAGGTGACAACACGATCCGGTCTCAAAATAGCAAATAAAAACTTAAGGTTCTAGTCCCATGCTCAGTACTGCTATAACTACCCACCTAGCTAACTAAATAAATGCCCTTTTTTAAATGACTTGGACTGGTTTCTTAGGTAAGTCATGAGGAGAGGGCCTCTCCACAGCGTGGTGCTGGGGACAGTGTCACATGCTCTCCACAGGCCAGGAAATAGCTCACTTTTAAATACCCAGGACAGAGTCAAAAGTTTCTTTTTCTTCTTCTATTTTTTTTTCCAGTTAAGTATTACAGTCATTGTCTTAGTATTTTTTTAATAGAGATGTCTTTGTTTTTTCATGTAAAACAGTCTCAACTTTATTATATTGAAGGCTTCCTTCACAGGCTATCAAGATTCACTGGCTACCAGAGTCTAATGTTACAAGTTTTTTAAAAATAAAAATACTATTTATCCTGTTCCTGTGTTTCTATTAAAAGGGAAGATTGGATAATTTAAGAAAATTCTAGATTTATAAATTGATAATCCTTGAAGAGAAGTAGTTTCATCTGCCCTGGGGGAAGTAGGAGAAGAGGGCAGGTGTAATATCAGGAAAATATAAAATATCTTGAAGTCTGTGACCCAATTATCATAACAGAAAAGCTTCTTACGTATTAATCCTGGTAAACGTACAAAATAAAATGGAAATGTATTTGTGTTCTCCCCCAAAATGTAGATAGTGTTAACATATTTTACAAAGTAAAATATACACGATTTATTGAATATTTTACTAGAAAGCAAGTAGTCCTGTACTTGTCACAATTACAGTGTGAAATATTTAGGGAGATCAAGAGTAACTCACCTTGCACACTTTGGGGCTCTCCTGGGGATCCCTCTGTCCTAGTATTTGTGATCTCACATGCTTATCAGCTATTGCATTGTCATCATCTGTTTGTAATCCCTCACCCCAGTAGCTGCTGACTGCTTAGTTATAAGGTAAGAATAGTGAGACCTACCTCAGAGTTGCTGTAAGATTCAGTACATGTAAATCACTTGCCTGGCATTGTGCAGATGATGGCTACTCAGTTCTTCTGAGACAGTGCTAACGGAATCCAAGTAGTAGATGCAAAAGTGACCACGTGGGGAAGGTTTAAGGCAATCATTTGAGAGGGAGGCTGTCCAGGCACCTGAGGCTTTTGGTGGGAAAAATGAAAAATACTTGCTTCAAGGACCAATGCATTCTACCATGCTCTCATACTTTATTTTCCTTATTAAACTGAGGTCCTCAGGCTGAGAACTGTACCACAGTACTTACAGTGATAACCTAGCAGCCCCTACCTAGCCTGGATGTATGTAGAGCTACCTACCTAAATCTCTCTGAAAGTGTGAAATAAAGTTGTATTAATCCAAATGGAGGTAACAGTTTCGTTTTATGGTTCCAGTCAGTTTAAAATTGGTTTTGACTAGTTTTGTATCTGGGTTAACTTGGCAGCTCTATAAGCTTGAGGAGAGAATTGTTTGATCTTGCTAAGATTCCGCTTCCCATCCAGAAAAGCAGAATCATACTGATACCTCCCCGGAGGAGTTGTGATGAGGACTTTTTGATACAAGGCATGTAACGAATTTAGCACAGATCCAACAATTAAGGCTTATTAAACAGTTACTGTGTTTACTGGTGCATGGTCTTCTGAGCTCCTATTAGTGTTTGATACCTTTAATGAATTATAAGGAATACACAACATGAATCTGAGACAGGCCCAGTGGTGTAGTCCTATAATTCCAGCACTCAGGAGGCTGAGGCAGAAGGATCGTTGCAAGTTCAAGACCAGCCTGGGCTACAAAGTGAGCCCAAGGCCAGCCTGAACTGCATAGTGAGATCCTGTTTCAAAAAGACAAAAAAAAATCTATTGGTTTATTTAATGAATCTTGCTGCTAGCGTGTTCCAGGCATCAGCATAGCAGCTACAGCTATGAACCAGGACAACCTAATCTCTCCCCTCCCAGAGCACAGTGCAAGTGGGGTGGATGAGCATTGTACACAGTAAATGAATAAGTAGTTTCCACCAGTATCAGCGGCATATACCTATAACCCCCGCTACTTAGGAGGCTGAGATAGAAGGATCACAATTCAAGGCTACTCTGGCAAACTTAGTGAGACCGTGTCTCAAAATAAAATATTAAAAGGACTGAGGGTTTGGTACAGGAGTAGGGTGCTCCTGAGTTCAATCGCCGTTACTGCAAAGATAAATGAATACATTTCCAACAGAAACAGGAGCATGAAGAAAATAAAACAGAGGTGAGATCGAGATTATGAAAGAGGATTTGCCCTGAAGGAGGGTCTGCTGTAAGAGCATTTCAGGCAGAGGAAACAGCATGGATGCAGGATCCGAGCAAGAGGGTTCCTAGAACAGAGAGGACCGTGGCTTGAGCCCTGGGAGTCAGGGAGAGAATGAGGTCAGGGCCAGGCGAAGGGTGCAGCTTGCAGAATGGCGCAGAGCATGACACCAGGGAAAGATTTTATATGGGGGTGGGGGAGCCATTGGGAAGTCATAAGGAAGGCAATGGTACAAACTGCATGTAAAAGGAACTAAAAGAAGCTTAGAGATGATCTAGTCCAAATCCTAATTTGACAAAGGAGGAAACTGGTGGGGGTTCTCAGAAGACCTCACATGGTCCCTGCCTTCTGGCTTTTAGCCATCTCACAACTGTCTTTGAAAGAGATCCAAACACCCTGCCCTGACAGATAAAGGCGGCTAATCCTGCTTCTGGCTTCCTTCTGGCCTCTGGGCCCCTCAGTGTTCTTCTACAGCAGAGTGGGAGGCAGCGTCGCCCGTTAGCTGAGAGCCCAGGATCTGGGGGTCTGGATTCAGTGTCCAGGACTTGTCTTCTTATAGGTTTGGAAAATTCACTTCACCTCCCCCAGTCTCAGCCACATGTATGTGAAGTGTTATAAGAGGAGTGGGGGCCAGGGCGAGTGATAAATAAGCTAATTTACGTGAATCTGCACCATGTCTGGTCCATTGATAGCTACTCTGGGGTCATTGTTATTGTGGTAAAGAAGCACAAAATCATGAAAAGGAAATCAGTGTTGGAATATGACAAATCTGAGTTAATATTCTGAATCCTGAGTTTATTTTCTGAGTCACTCTAAGCAAATTAAGCTCTCTGAACCTCACTTGCTTTCTCTGTAAACTGGAGAATAAATTCCGGCTCCAGGACACTATGATAAGAAAGAATTTCTAGAAGATGCCAGAACTGTTTCAGCCTGTTGCTTTTTGTTGCT